CCTCCCCCCACACACACAAACCTTCTCTAAGTAAGTATGAGTTACCTGTTCTGACTGTTAATTGCCTCGTACTGTGGAAAGGGGCCAGTCTGCCAGATTTTAGCCTCAATCTGATTATACCGTGACAACACACTTTCCGTGAGGGCCAGGCTTCCCAAGCTGACAGGCTGCACAAAGATATAAACAATATCATGATTTTTGAAAAAAAACAAAAACATTTTATAGGCAAGAAAGTAACTAAATGTTCACTGAGCCAATATATTTGAACCCTATGACCAATAAAATTGGTCAAGGTTATTTATTATCATAAAATGGTAAGCATGTCCTGGCCAAACTGTGCTACAGTTACTGGTATACAGACACGGACGTGTCCTGGCCAAACTGTGCTACAGTTATACAGACACGGACATGTCCTGGCCAAACTGTGCTATAGTTATACAGACACGGACGTGTCCTGGCCAAACTGTGCTACAGTTATACAGACACGGACGTGTCCTGGCCAAACTGTGCTACAGTTATACAGACACGGACGTGTCCTGGCCAAACTGTGCTACAGTTATACAGACACGGACGTGTCCTGGCCAAACTGTGCTACAGTTATACAGACACGGACGTGTCCTGGCCAAACTGTGCTACAGTTATACAGACACGGACGTGTCCTGGCCAAACTGTGCTACAGTTATACAGACACGGACGTGTCCTGGCCAAACTGTGCTACAGTTATACAGACACGGACGTGTCCTGGCCAAACTGTGCTACAGTTATACAGACACGGACGTGTCCTGGCCAAACTGTGCTACAGTTATACAGACACGGACGTGTCCTGGCCAAACTGTGCTACAGTTATACAGACACGGACGTGTCCTGGCCAAACTGTGCTACAGTTATACAGACACGGACATGTCCTGGCCAAACTGTGCTATAGTTATACAGACACGGACGTGTCCTGGCCAAACTGTGCTATAGTTATACAGACACGGACGTGTCCTGGCCAAACTGTGCTACAGTTATACAAACACGGACGTGTCCTGGCCAAACTGTGCTACAGTTATACAGACACGGACGTGTCCTGGCCAAACTGTGCTACAGTTATACAGACACGGACGTGTCCTGGCCAAACTGTGCTACAGTTATACAGACACGGACGTGTCCTGGCCAAACTGTGCTACAGTTATACAGACACGGACGTGTCCTGGCCAAACTGTGCTACAGTTATACAGACACGGACGTGTCCTGGCCAAACTGTGCTACAGTTATACAGACACGGACGTGTCCTGGCCAAACTGTGCTACAGTTATACAGACACGGACGTGTCCTGGCCAAACTGTGCTACAGTTATACAGACACGGACGTGTCCTGGCCAAACTGTGCTACAGTTATACAGACACGGACGTGTCCTGGCCAAACTGTGCTATAGTTATACAGACACGGACGTGTCCTGGACAAACTGTGCTATAGTTATACAGACACAGAAGTGTCCTGTCCAAACTGTGCTACAGTTATACAAACACGGACGTGTCCTGGCCAAACTGTGCTACAGTTATACAGACACGGACGTGTCCTGGCCAAACTGTGCTACAGTTATACAGACACGGACATGTCCTGGCCAAACTGTGCTATAGTTATACAGACACGGACGTGTCCTGGCCAAACTGTGCTATAGTTATACAAACACGGACGTGTCCTGGCCAAACTGTGCTACAGTTATACAGACACGGACGTGTCCTGGCCAAACTGTGCTACAGTTATACAGACACGGACGTGTCCTGGCCAAACTGTGCTACAGTTATACAGACACGGACGTGTCCTGGCCAAACTGTGCTACAGTTATACAGACACGGACGTGTCCTGGCCAAACTGTGCTACAGTTATACAGACACGGACGTGTCCTGGCCAAACTGTGCTACAGTTATACAGACACGGACGTGTCCTGGCCAAACTGTGCTACAGTTATACAGACACGGACGTGTCCTGGCCAAACTGTGCTACAGTTATACAGACACGGACGTGTCCTGGCCAAACTGTGCTACAGTTATACAGACACGGACGTGTCCTGGCCAAACTGTGCTACAGTTATACAGACACGGACGTGTCCTGGCCAAACTGTGCTACAGTTATACAGACACGGACGTGTCCTGGCCAAACTGTGCTACAGTTATACAGACACGGACGTGTCCTGGCCAAACTGTGCTACAGTTATACAGACACGGACGTGTCCTGGCCAAACTGTGCTACAGTTATACAGACACGGACGTGTCCTGGCCAAACTGTGCTACAGTTATACAGACACGGACGTGTCCTGGCCAAACTGTGCTACAGTTATACAGACACGGACGTGTCCTGGCCAAACTGTGCTACAGTTATACAGACACGGACGTGTCCTGGCCAAACTGTGCTACAGTTATACAGACACGGACGTGTCCTGGCCAAACTGTGCTACAGTTATACAGACACGGACGTGTCCTGGCCAAACTGTGCTACAGTTATACAGACACGGACGTGTCCTGGCCAAACTGTGCTACAGTTATACAGACACGGACGTGTCCTGGCCAAACTGTGCTACAGTTATACAGACACGGACGTGTCCTGGCCAAACTGTGCTACAGTTATACAGACACGGACGTGTCCTGGCCAAACTGTGCTACAGTTATACAGACACGGACGTGTCCTGGCCAAACTGTGCTACAGTTATACAGACACGGACGTGTCCTGGCCAAACTGTGCTACAGTTATACAGACACGGACGTGTCCTGGCCAAACTGTGCTACAGTTATACAGACACGGACGTGTCCTGGCCAAACTGTGCTACAGTTATACAGACACGGACGTGTCCTGGCCAAACTGTGCTACAGTTATACAGACACGGACGTGTCCTGGCCAAACTGTGCTACAGTTATACAGACACGGACGTGTCCTGGCCAAACTGTGCTACAGTTATACAGACACGGACGTGTCCTGGCCAAACTGTGCTACAGTTATACAGACACGGACGTGTCCTGGCCAAACTGTGCTACAGTTATACAGACACGGACGTGTCCTGGCCAAACTGTGCTACAGTTATACAGACACGGACGTGTCCTGGCCAAACTGTGCTACAGTTATACAGACACGGACGTGTCCTGGCCAAACTGTGCTACAGTTATACAGACACGGACGTGTCCTGGCCAAACTGTGCTACAGTTATACAGACACGGACGTGTCCTGGCCAAACTGTGCTACAGTTATACAAACACGGACGTGTCCTGGCCAAACTGTGCTACAGTTATACAGACACGGACGTGTCCTGGCCAAACTGTGCTACAGTTATACAGACACGGACGTGTCCTGGCCAAACTGTGCTACAGTTATACAGACACGGACATGTCCTGGCCAAACTGTGCTATAGTTATACAGACACGGACGTGTCCTGGCCAAACTGTGCTATAGTTATACAGACACGGACGTGTCCTGGCCAAACTGTGCTACAGTTATACAAACACGGACGTGTCCTGGCCAAACTGTGCTACAGTTATACAGACACGGACGTGTCCTGGCCAAACTGTGCTACAGTTATACAGACACGGACGTGTCCTGGCCAAACTGTGCTACAGTTATACAGACACGGACGTGTCCTGGCCAAACTGTGCTACAGTTATACAGACACGGACGTGTCCTGGCCAAACTGTGCTACAGTTATACAGACACGGACGTGTCCTGGCCAAACTGTGCTACAGTTATACAGACACGGACGTGTCCTGGCCAAACTGTGCTACAGTTATACAGACACGGACGTGTCCTGGCCAAACTGTGCTACAGTTATACAGACACGGACGTGTCCTGGCCAAACTGTGCTACAGTTATACAGACACGGACGTGTCCTGGCCAAACTGTGCTATAGTTATACAGACACGGACGTGTCCTGGACAAACTGTGCTATAGTTATACAGACACAGAAGTGTCCTGTCCAAACTGTGCTACAGTTATACAAACACGGACGTGTCCTGGCCAAACTGTGCTACAGTTATACAGACACGGACGTGTCCTGGCCAAACTGTGCTACAGTTATACAGACACGGACGTGTCCTGGCCAAACTGTGCTACAGTTATACAGACACGGACGTGTCCTGGCCAAACTGTGCTACAGTTATACAGACACGGACGTGTCCTGGCCAAACTGTGCTACAGTTATACAGACACGGACGTGTCCTGGCCAAACTGTGCTACAGTTATACAGACACGGACGTGTCCTGGCCAAACTGTGCTACAGTTATACAGACACGGACGTGTCCTGGCCAAACTGTGCTACAGTTATACAGACACGGACGTGTCCTGGCCAAACTGTGCTACAGTTATACAGACACGGACGTGTCCTGGCCAAACTGTGCTACAGTTATACAGACACGGACATGTCCTGGCCAAACTGTGCTATAGTTATACAGACACGGACGTGTCCTGGCCAAACTGTGCTATAGTTATACAAACACGGACATGTCCTGGCCAAACTGTGCTATAGTTATACAAACACGGACATGTCCTGGCCAAACTGTGCTACAGTTATACAAACACGGACGTGTCCTGACCAAACTGTGCTATAGTTATACAGACACGGACGTGTCCTGGCCAAACTGTGCTACAGTTATACAGACACAGAAGTGTCCTGTCCAAACTGTGCTATAGTTATACAAACACGGACGTGTCCTGGCCAAACTGTGCTATAGTTATACAAACACGGACATGTCCTGGCCATACTGTGCTACAGTTATACAGACACGGAAGTTAAGGGGAGGTAACTCTATGTAGGAAAAAACAATGTGATCTTTAAAGAACAGAACTGTCGATATTTTAGATTATAAGTTTAAAGGACTACAGACATCTGGACACATCTTATAGCACATACAGGTAGTTTAAATAGACAAATGAGACAGCTGCTTTCACTCAACACAATTAACTTCAGAATTGTGTTGATTGGCTGAATATTTTGTTTAATTGTACTTCAACAGAGGACAAACAAACATTTGTTAAGCGGTATATTTTGTGGATAACCATATCCCAGAGANGGGGGGGGGGGGGGGGGGGGGGGGGGGGGGGTCAACTTCAATCTGCATGGACTCGATCAATTCTGAATTAGTTCAATTTCACAAAAAAACACTTCAATAATGCTTTGTGGTTTTGGGATGAATCAGTTTCTATATACGTATATATGGATCTGACCGTTGATTGAAACTGGGGTGGGGGGGGAGAGGCAGGGGGAGGGGGTACACATGTTGACTGGTACTTAAGGAGATTACAGATATCGTGTCGCAGATCACAACATAATGTAATGAGGTTCAGGAAGTCAACAACACACGACGCTGTCATTGTCGGAATGTGCCTTGGTCCATCTGTCACAAAACAGCCAATAAAATCGTGTGAGAATGTACTGCTAAAGCGAGTACCTCGTTTCCAATGCTTTATTGGGCCAATCATGATAATTAATTAGCAAATAAATTATCAGAATGAGTCAGAAAAGGTTGTCTGTTTCGTTACCTATGCAGGAGAAGTTAATTCATAAACATTCAAAACTATTCTTACTATTCTGCTCTCTGATTTGAAAATCTAGTATAATGTTGTTGTTGTTTTTTTGTGAAAGGATTAAATAGAAAAAACTCCGTTTCTCATTGATGTCTTCATTGAGATTTGTGTATAAATGTTTGAGAAATCAAACCAGTCACGCTGGCCTGACGGGCTACAACTATTTTGACAGACTGGAGACAGTGGCTAAGCTTGGGGGCGTTCAATATGTTAATCAACTTTTGATTTAAATACCCTGTGTAGAGGAATGTGACTAGATGAGTTGGATGGTCACGTGATGTTCTCACTTCTGTACAGAATTGTCTTCTCTCGTGCAGACAGGTACGAATCAAGGCAAGACGGACACATCACATGGAAACACTGAAGGTTAGAGATCCCATTACGTCAATATTTCGCAGATGATTTTTGATTTCTCCCCACCTTCATAGGTGTGTCTCCCGTTTAAGTTGGGAAAGATCAGTTTGTCGCCCCCTAGGGGGAGATAGCCTCGTGCCGATTAGCACGTGTTCAATTGTCACGTCATTAAAATGTGTCACAGGTAATTGTGACGTCATCAAAAGTGAATGACGAATCACGATATTCATACCCCAAATGTGTTTTTGTTTACAAACATGGCAGACTACAGTCGGTGGAGTTGTGACTGATGGATGGGAGAAAAATAATCATCCCCTACATTGACTGTGTAACAGAGAAATCCCCAACCCTCGGAGTGATTGTTTGGTTTTCTAACCCTCGGCCAAATAATCACCCCTTGGGTAGGAGATTTCTCTGTCACACTATCAAGGTAGGGGAAGGTTCTATAAGACATTGCCTACAATAATTTGAATATAACTATAAATATTGCCAGTCCTATAACAGCTAGCAGCTGTGGATGGACTCTGTTATGGAATTATAATTTCCTGGCAGGCTAAGTTAAGCATGTGACAAAGGTTTTCTTAAGGATGCTATCCTACTCTGTCATCCATCTTCTTAAGTTAAGATTATAAAGTGGTTTGGCAGTAACTTCACAGACAATTATAAAGGAACTGTTCAAAAAAAAGGTAACAGGGACTTTAAAATGGCGGAAAGGCAGTTGGCAAACAGGCCGGGATATTACATCAAGGTTTTACTGCACCGTAAAAAATATGGGAAATATGTGGAATATATGAACTGTATGGAAGCACTTTGTACAAAAGTAAGTGAAAAACACTGTAAACACTGGAGGACAATTGTCTATACGTAACATTCTCTTTAGAACTTCAGATGTGATGTGTGTGGGCAAATACGACCAGTTTGCTGTATTTCTAATCTAGAGTTTAATTACCACACACAGGAAACCCATTACTCAGCTCATGGGAATGTAATGATTACTCAAAAATACTTGACTTTTAAAATCAGACTTAATTGTCTCACCAGTCCAGGTTTATAAATAATCAGTGTTTTGATAACATTATATAACAGTGCTATATCTGTCAGTCTTTTATCATTGATAACACCAAGAGATCCCAGAGGGCAAGAGATCCCAGAGGGCAAGAGATCCCAAAGGGAAAGATATCCCAGAGGGCAAGAGATCCCAGAGGGCAAGAGGTCCCAGAGGGCAAGAGATTCCAGAGGGAAAGAGATCCCAGAGGGAAAGAGATCCCAGAGGGCAAGAGATCCCAGAGGCAACAGATCCCAGAGGGAAAAATATTCTAGAGGGCAAGAGAAACCAGACGGAAAAATATTCTAGAGGGCAAGAGATCCCAGAGGGAAAAATATTCTAGAGGGCAAGAGATCCCAGAGGGCAAGAGATCCCAAAGGGAAAGATATCCCAGAGGGCAAGAGATCCCAGAGGGCAAGAGGTCCCAGAGGGCAAGAGATTCCAGAGGGAAAGAGATCCCAGAGGGAAAGAGATCCCAGAGGGCAAGAGATCCCAGAGGCAACAGATCCCAGAGGGAAAAATATTCTAGAGGGCAAGAGAAACCAGACGGAAAAATATTCTAGAGGGCAAGAGATCCCAGAGGGAAAAATATTCTAGAGGGCAAGAGATCCGAGAGGGCAAGAGTCTGATGTGAGATTGATATCCCAGAGGGCAAGAGATCCCAGAGGGCAAGAGGTCCCAGAGGGCAAGAGATTCCAGAGGGAAAGAGATCCCAGAGGGAAAGAGATCCCAGAGGGCAAGAGATCCCAGAGGCAACAGATCCCAGAGGGAAAAATATTCTAGAGGGCAAGAGAAACCAGACGGAAAAATATTCTAGAGGGCAAGAGATCCCAGAGGGAAAAATATTATAGAAGGCAAGAGAAACCAGAGGGCAAGAGGTCCCAGATGGAAAAAGATTCTAGAGGGCAAGAGATCCCAGATGGAAAAAGATTCTAGAGGGCAAGAGATCCCAGAGAGCAAGAGATCCCAAAGGGCAAGAGATCCTAGAGGGATCTTGGCACCCATCATCGGAGGTCACTTGAAAGAAACACAACAGAAGGATTCATTTGCCTATATTATCCCGAGACCTGTATTTATAATACTTATTTTGTTATGATAAAATGTTTTCCTCAAAAGGAATGTAGAATTTGGCCCCAAGACCTTCACCTTCAATCTTCATCATTTAGGCTCAATTCCTACAATACTATTTCATAATGTTACATTCAATTTTAAACTGATATCACCCTTAATTACACCTAGACGAAATAGCGTTTATACCAACAATATCTTTTTATCCTTTTCTCATGTTATTACGTAATGTTTACCATTAGGAGATATATATACCATCACGCCATTGATCTTTCATCAAATGACCTTGAACTTTCACCTGGTGATGTTAAGCAACAAGATGCCCAGAGGGCCTGTATCGCTCACCTAGATATCTAAGCAGTCATAGCAAACTATTCTCATTAAATATTATACTGTACTACAAATATTTCTTTCTCATCTCATCTCATCGAGATATTTTTACAGGGGCTACAAATATAAGGGAGATAATTATTTTAGTGGCATTAGGACAAAGAGAGATAAATTAGTTACAGAGCCAGATCTCAGGGAGATATTTTTTCAAGGGCTACAATTATAAGGGAGATAATTATTGAAATCTAAGACACCTACCTCATGATATACGGAGCTCTGTCCAAAGGTCGGGATGCGGAATGATTTGACTTTCGGTTTTCCATCAGTGTCCACAATTTCCTGCAAGTATACAAACAAACATGTAATTTTCACAATGAAATAAGTAGGTAAGAAGGTAGGTTATATGTCACAGGATCATATTACCTTGATGTCATATTCCACTCTGAACCTGCATGTATGAGGTCAGAGGTCAGGATCCTCTTGTAGTGTTGTCAGAAATGTAATGCATCACATGACACGTTATTCAATGTCTCACTAAGAATATTCCTCAAATGTTTTCTTGATTTTTCTCTGTCCAATAACATGCAAAAATAAGTGTTTATAGGCCAACAGCCATCTAGTTTATACCTCTAGTTTATATCAATGACAACAATCATCTAGTTTAATTTGGCTTCCGCTCAATTGATACATTTTGTTTGTTGGTGTGATTTCCTGTGTGAATGATTTGATGTAAAAAAAGCTCCAGGGAATTAACCGAAACAGTTATCAGGGAACATCATCAAGTATGGGAGTCAATGGCCCGGGAAGAGTTATCATCGTGATGATACGTATTATTATGTATGTACTGCTTTCATCTGACTGAAACATAAAAGTTGTCATTTCCTGTATATCAGAGCAATATCCATGCCTTAAAACGACCGAAATATAACTGAATTCTATAACTAGAGTTAAACCAGAAACCTTTAGTGTTGTACTAAATGTGTCTGGTTACAGTCCATGATATATAGTTTATCTATAGAACATTTACGCGATATTCAACACACTCCAATAAAAGTCTGAGTTAGTCAGTAAAAGTCATTAAGAACCTTGTCCATTATATATTCAGAGTATTTTTTTTAAAAATTTGCCCACCCTCAGCTGGCTACAATGTCTCCAGAAATACCATAAGGAGAAGGGGTAACTACAGCCTCCATAAACTACGCAATTTTACAGTAACCTAAACAGCCTTTATACAGGCTAAAACTCTCACCTTCCAGGCACAAATCAGTGTAGCTAATCTGCCGATAAAACGATAGAGAGACAGCAGTCTGTTGAACAAAGATTAAACAAGAGTAGTCAGGAGGCACGGTAGTCAAGTGGTAGGACGCTGGGCTCGTGACCGAAGGGTTGCGAGTTCGAGTCACTGCACGGCACTGTGTTATATCTTTGAGCAAGGTACTTTACTCCGCTTGTTCCAATCTACTCAGCTGTAAATGAGTACGTGGTTGGGCAGTGCTAGAAATGTAGAATGCTAGCTGTGAGTGCGGAATTGGCTAATGCTCCCAAGGGAGTTGAGAAAGATGTTGGCTGGTTGTAAAGGCCCTATAACCACGGATAATAATTTGTGAACCGCTTTGAGACGACCTACAAACTAGATTGTGATAAAGCGGTATATAAGAACCTCAAATTATTATTATCATTATAGTGCTGATGAAAAGACAAATAATTTTGCACACAATACGTAAATACTAATCATCCAGTTATACTAGTTATCAGGATCGAAGTTAATCCATATCCTTCATTACCTAGGATCCAGATAGTCTGCTCAGTCAAGCGTTCACTCTCATATAAAGTAAACATGCATACCAAATGTTAGATTTTTTAGAGTTGGGAGATCATCGTTTCTTAAAGGATGTTGGAAAATAAACTTGAAAAAATGGAGAGAACTTCCAATACTTCAACGACACGCCATGAGAAAAAACTCTCAATATGCACCCAATTAAAAAAACACGCCAAGGGGGACAACTCTAATGATACTCCCACTACCATGACTTGCCAAGGGAGATAAGTCTAGTTTAATACCACCACGCTTATATCATGCCCAGGAAGGCTGACACTTCGATGGAGAAACAAAATGGTAATAAAACATATTTCTATCATAATTGTGTGCTGAAGTTTCTATCATAGTTTCTTTTTCCAGACTTCCTGTTATACAATCTTTCTATCATAGTTTATTTTTCCAGACTTCCTGTTATACATTCTTTCTATTATTGTTTGTTTTTCCAGACTTCCTGTTATACAATCTTTTTATCAAAGTTTATTTTTCCAGACGTCCTGTTATACAATCTTTCTATCATAGTTTATTTTTCCAGACTTCCTGTTATACAATCTTTCTATCATAGTTTATTTTTCCAGACTTCCTGTTATACAATCTTTCTATCATAGTTTATTTTTCCAGACTTCCTGTTATACAATCTTTCTATCATAGTTTATTTTTCCAGACTTCCTGTTATACAATCTTTCTATCATAGTTTATTTTTCCAGACTTCCTGTTATACAATCTTTCTATCATAGTTTATTTTTCCAGACTTCCTGTTATACAATCTTTCTATCATAGTTTATTTTTCCAGACTTCCTGTTATACAATCTTTCTATCATAGTTTATTTTTCCAGACTTCCTGTTATACAATCTTTCTATCATAGTTTATTTTTCCAGACTTCCTGTTATACAATCTTTCTATCATAGTTTATTTTTCCAGACTTCCTGTTATACAATCTTTCTATCATAGTTTATTTTTCCAGACTTCCTGTTATACAATCTTTCTATCATAGTTTATTTTTCCAGACTTCCTGTTATACAATCTTTCTATCATAGTTTATTTTTCCAGACTTCCTGTTATACAATCTTTCTATCATAGTTTATTTTTCCAGACTTCCTGTTATACAATCTTTCTATCATAGTTTATTTTTCCAGACTTCCTGTTATACAATCTTTCTATCATAGTTTATTTTTCCAGACTTCCTGTTATACAATCTTTCTATCATAGTTTATTTTTCCAGACTTCCTGTTATACAATCTTTCTATCATAGTTTATTTTTCCAGACTTCCTGTTATACAATCTTTCTATCATAGTTTATTTTTCCAGACTTCCTGTTATACAATCTTTCTATCATAGTTTATTTTTCCAGACTTCCTGTTATACAATCTTTCTATCATAGTTTATTTTTCCAGACTTCCTGTTATACAATCTTTCTATCATAGTTTATTTTTCCAGACTTCCTGTTATACAATCTTTCTATCATAGTTTATTTTTCCAGACTTCCTGTTATACAATCTTTCTATCATAGTTTATTTTTCCAGACTTCCTGTTATACAATCTTTCTATCATAGTTTATTTTTCCAGACTTCCTGTTATACAATCTTTCTATCATAGTTTATTTTTCCAGACTTCCTGTTATACAATCTTTCTATCATAGTTTATTTTTCCAGACTTCCTGTTATACAATCTTTCTATCATAGTTTATTTTTCCAGACTTCCTGTTATACAATCTTTCTATCATAGTTTATTTTTCCAGACTTCCTGTTATACAATCTTTCTATCATAGTTTATTTTTCCAGACTTCCTGTTATACAATCTTTCTATCATAGTTTATTTTTCCAGACTTCCTGTTATACAATCTTTCTATCATAGTTTATTTTTCCAGACTTCCTGTTATACAATCTTTCTATCATAGTTTATTTTTCCAGACTTCCTGTTATACAATCTTTCTATCATAGTTTATTTTTCCAGACTTCCTGTTATACAATCTTTCTATCATAGTTTATTTTTCCAGACTTCCTGTTATACAATCTTTCTATCATAGTTTATTTTTCCAGACTTCCTGTTATACAATCTTTCTATCATAGTTTATTTTTCCAGACTTCCTGTTATACAATCTTTCTATCATAGTTTATTTTTCCAGACTTCCTGTTATACAATCTTTCTATCATAGTTTATTTTTCCAGACTTCCTGTTATACAATCTTTCTATCATAGTTTATTTTTCCAGACTTCCTGTTATACAATCTTTCTATCATAGTTTATTTTTCCAGACTTCCTGTTATACAATCTTTCTATCATAGTTTATTTTTCCAGACTTCCTGTTATACAATCTTTCTATCATAGTTTATTTTTCCAGACTTCCTGTTATACAATCTTTCTATCATAGTTTATTTTTCCAGACTTCCTGTTATACAATCTTTCTATCATAGTTTATTTTTCCAGACTTCCTGTTATACAATCTTTCTATCATAGTTTATTTTTCCAGACTTCCTGTTATACAATCTTTCTATCATAGTTTATTTTTCCAGACTTCCTGTTATACATTCTTTCTATCATAGTTTATTTTTCCAGACTTCCTGTTATACAATCTTTCTATCATAGTTTATTTTTCCAGACTTCCTGTTATACATTCTTTCTATCATAGTTTATTTTTCCAGACTTCCTGTTATACAATCTTTCTATCATAGTTTATTTTTCTATACTTCCTGTTATACAATCTCTCTTTCAGTCTATTGCTTCTTTATGTTGATCTTTCTATTATAATATTTTGGTGTTTCGGTCTGCTTTTCCTTCGTGGAGCCTGTATGGGCTTGTTGACTGGTGTGGTGCTAATTAACACATCCTTGATGTATAGATGAAGATTCTAGCTGTTTTTTCCTCAATCAATATTTACATGGTGAAGAAACCAGCATGTTTGGCCCTAACATTGCACTTCGCGAGGCAATGCATCTTAGGTTCGTCTCCTGTAATGATTCGCCCCTCCGTTCTCCCAGTCTATTCACGGCACTCGGCTATCCCATAATTCTTCATTAGTGCCACCTGGTGGGACCAGTTAATCAATAAGTTTCGGCGCTTTGTTATTAACGCCGACATGTTTGTCAACCATTGCTGCAATGTACACGCAGCCGAATGGGCTTTTAAGAAACTTAAGAAAATTGTTTTAAGTCTGTTTTTACAAAATGATGAAATTAAAAGTACAGGTTGTATGGTATAAGCAAGGCAAACCAACTGCAGCCATGACAAGAGGGATGTGTAGAACGTAATGCTATAGAGAGATAACCAGGTTACTTTGCCTCAATTTCGTGGGTAAGGGCTTTCAGCTTAGGAGCAGGCCGATTTTACGATGCTGCCATCCCAAACGACACAGCATTCTAACGCCTCTAAACCAGTAATTACCCGACAATTATAGGTAAAATTAAACAAAGCACTCAATCAATGAAACGTTTCCATGGAAATAGACAAATTTCTTTAAAATCTTCAGCCTGAAAGGAGAATGCCGTTGTAGACTAAACTGCTGCTGAACATTTATATATTATGT